AGTTATTTTGATCTGGTATTATTATTTAATAGCGGATACAAATGGTCCTCTGCTCTCGTTTCGCGACATGGTGGCGTTGTTCAGCACGGCAGCACATCTCGACATAACACCGGTCTGTGCTGAACAACAGGCATGCTAATAAACGCGTTAGCCTTCGAGCTAGCTGCTGTTTTGGAAATGTATGAAACATTACGGTCACCCACAAAGAAGGCACAGAAGCGTTGAACAAAATCAAAGCAGTACGTGAAATAAAAAACAACAATACAGCAGCCAGCGTTAATGCAAATGATGTTAGAGAAGAGAGTGAAAATGGCGGTGAACAGGAGGCCGCCATTCCCCTTACCGGAGGTTTCGTCCGCTCCGTCATGGTTCGAATTCAGCTCCTTTTTACTCACTTTTGCCGCCGAGGCCGACATGTTTTCGCAAGCGGGGGTAACTTACAGACGTCTGAGAAAATATCTGGTAGCTTTGAATCTGGTTTCTCCCTGAGCAGGAGAACGTTAATTCGGCGTAAAGTTCAGCGTGCAGAAAGCCAACAACGTGCTGCTGTCCACACAATGTAGCTGCCGACGAGCGCGAGGAAGTCACGGCGAGTAGTGACGCGTCGACTCGGAACGACTCGGAACTACTCGGCTCCAAGAACCGGATCCTTTAAGTTTACGAGGGGAGCCGAATCCCGCCCGAGAGCAACTTGTGATTTTCCTCTTTAATAAAATAAATAATTTAAAGGCACAATACAAGAAAGATCCTATACTTTATTTTAAACACAATCCAGAAACATTTGTGATAGATGTAAATGATGTACATATATGTATATTTATTTAACTCTGTTAATTAGGCTATTAGATAGATAGATAAGGCTATTATATATATATACACATATATATGTATATATATGTATATATTTACATGCATATGTTTTTTTTTTTTCAAAGTAGGGCTGGGTGATATGGACCAAAACTCATATCTTGATATTGTTTAGCTGAATGGCGATGTATTTTATTAACAGTGAAAACACATGGAAAAAAAACTACCTGTTTGTGAATTTAAAAAAGTAATATTATAAAATTAAAATGTTAAATACAATAAGAGAGAGAGCGGAGGAGCAGACAGTCAGTCCTTATCAGTGAGATGAGAAAAAAGTGATCTGGCACCTCTATAACGTTATTTTAATGCAACATAAACTATATCCATATTAATGATATTGTCTGACCCTATATCTTGTTTGAAAATATATCGATATATCTTAAAAACTCGATATATTTCCCATCCCTAATTCAAAGTTATGTACATACAATAAAAGGTTCTAGATTGAGAGAGAGTCAGTGGCTATAAATAAGTAGGAATAATTAACAATTTTTGTGCAGTGACTGAATTAGTATACAAACAAATAAACAGTTATATGACCTGCTTCATGAGGCACCACTACACTACGACATTTACACATTAATGCAAGTATAATGTATTTATTTAACATTTTTATTCCAGACATACAGGAGCATTATGGCATTGTGTTATTTATACGGCTTAGTGTATTAATAATTTAAGTGATAAAGCTGCACAAACTTGGCTAAAGTCGACAGAACGACACGATCCAGAAGTGGTTCTATATGAAGAACCGAAAGAGTCGGTTCTCCATTGATGAACGGAGTCGAATGATCCGAATCACCGAAGAGAACCGAACTTCCCCCTCGGCGAGGAGAGAAGTGGCGCCAGCTCCGCCTCTCAAAATAGGTCTCACAACTCGGCTTCAATTTAATGATTTTAATCCGTATTTTCACATAAAAATGACCTCCAACATAAATCAAACCTCAAAGTAGCACTTCATTTTTCATTTGACGTTATTTAAAATTAAATAAAAGCCATTAAATACGTTTTTCAGGGCCAGGGCAAAGCTTGTTCAGCTGGACCGACTCGCACTTGCGCACTTGGAAAAGATGCTGAATGTGAGTTAGGAGCTTCTTTCTGGTGGTCAGAGCTCATTAGCCTGTTAGTTACAGTTTGTTACGACCGAGATAATTGTTCGTTTTGGACACGAACAGCTCGAATAAAGAGGACATAACAGTGTAGATTAAAACAAATAACTTGCCTACACATTTAGTGTGCCTATAAACAGCTATGTCCACATTATAACTGTGTATTTCATTATTGATGGAGGGAAGCGGGCCTGTTATTGGCAAATTATAACGATGAGATGACTCATTTAAGTTTTTCCTTTCATGTATGTAACTAATGTTATAACCCACCAACTTAATCTTTAACAAGGACAACATCAACAACCACACGATAAATGAAGGTTGTCAAGATACCAAACGATTCTAGTCAAAATCAAATTGTTTCGATACCATAACAATAACTTTACAGCTCCTAGTTATCGATTATTGGGTTATTATTGGATTTTGTAATATCAAAAAGACAAACAGACTCCTGCAAACTGTCTAAATTGCTTAAATACATTCCCACAGTGCTGCTTCTAGAGTCTGTTGGGGCCCAGGGCAGAAACTTACAAGGGGGCCCCCTTCAGCCCGTCTTCATCTTCATTATGTTATAAATCATCTGACACCAACAAAAAAGGACTAAACACCTCCACCTCTGTATTATCAACGTTTCTGTTAACGCAGCAACTTGAAGATTTGAAGTCTTTATAAAGCTTCTGTACTTTTCTACGGAAGCCCTAAGCGGACATGTTTCAATATATTTTATTTACTCAGTCAAACATCTCGGGGACAACAAAGCTGGATTTCCTCATAATAACGAGATACTTTTCTCGTGTTTGTCTGGTGTATAACCTGACCATTGTTTTGTTTTGTAGAATGAAAGAAGATGATCTAGTTATCACGAGAAAATACATTTTTTTCCCCACAATTTAACAAGAAAAATAAGATGAGATCTCGAGAAAACCAGCTTCCTTTTACGAGATAAATAAGGCGAGATCTGGAGAAAACAACTGAAATTACCTCGTTATTGCGGGACAACTGAGGAAATGAAATATATTGAACCATGTCCTCTTTGGGCTTCCGTACTATTGATTATTAAATTATCGACGATTGTATCATCTTAAACCATATTGTTAAGAATTAAATTCATTTTGACAACCTTAGTTTATACAAGATAACGGCTCCTTGATGTACCTTCACCTTTAGGACATTTTAGAAACCTGATCTTAAACCTGTGTGTGTTTTATTTATTTTATTTGTTTTCTTTTTATTGAGCATGTTATGCTGCTTAGGCTTTTTCTTACACTTGTGTTTATTTATTCCTTTGTCTTAGCTTCTGTTTGTTGTTAATAGTGACCTTGTGTCTGTCTGTCTTCTGGTTCTTTTAATGCTTTTCTGTTTTTGAATAATGACTCCTTGTCATCGTAAATGAGAGTCCTCAATGATCTCTGGAGTCTAAATTAAGGTTAAATGAACGAGTAAGCACACAAGATAATATGTCAGTAAACCTTGCTCTTTTCTCAGGATCACGTTCACACCAGCTGCTCCTTCATTTCCCACTCCCCCCGTCAGGATTGTTGACTGCTCTCTGTAATGCTTTTAATGTCTCTCACACCCCCTTCTCATCGGGGCAGGTAGAATAAATCTCCTCCTCCTGCTGGAGGCAGGTCTTCAGCGTGTCCCGAAGAGAGCAGCAGCAGCAGCTGTGTGTTTGCCTTTTGGTTGGTGACACACAGGAACATGTGGTCATGCAGCGGCCAATAACGAGCCCAGAGGAGGCAATCAGCTCTGTAGGACGAGCGGCAGCAGCAGCAGCAGCAGAGCTGGCAGCGGAGAGGAACTCTGCAGAGAGAAAACCTTCTGAAAGAGACACAAACAGAAGCAGAGAGAGAGAGGGAGAGAGGAGAGAGAGAGAGAGGAGGATTTGGTTACAGAGCGGAGGAAGTGGATGCAGAGGGAGGACGATGTTGCAGAGGAGTAAAAACAAACGGGACAGGCTGTGGATGTAGGACTCAAGATGTAGGAGCTGCATCAGAAGAGCCCTCAGCCAAAGAGTGTTTGTGAACGCATCATAACATCAAGGAACCCGTGTTTCAAGGATAGTGAAGGTGGAGAGGAGCAACCCAAGAAGCTCCCCCCCCCCCCACGACCTCCACAGAGGATGACAAAATAGTCCTTATTCAGCAAGGAGCGACAGCATCACCCTGAGGTAAGTGAAGTGCAAAGTCATTCTGTTCCCTCCTCACTTATCGCCTCTCCTCTCCTCTCTGTCTTCTGTTTGTCCAATATGTAAATGAGTTGTGAGTGTGCACTGTTGCTGCTGATTTCTTCATCTTCTGCCACTTGTTATGAGAAATCCTGTCTGTGTTCTGTGTGTGTGTGTGTGTGTGTGTGTGTGTGTGTGTCTGTGTGTGTTCTGTGTGTGTTCTGTGTGTGTGTGTGTGTGTGTGTGTGTGTGTGTGTGTGTGTGTGTGTGTGTGTGTCTCTGTGTGTGTGTGTGTCTGTGTGTGTGTGTGTTCTGTGTGTGTGTTCTGTGTGTGTGTGTCTGTGTGTGTGTGTGTTCTGTGTGTGTGTGTGTGTGTGTGTGTGTGTGTGTGAGCGTGTCTGTGTGTTCTGTGTGTGTGTGTTCTGTGTGTGTGTGTGTGTGTGTGTGTGTGTCTGTGTGTGTGTGTCTGTGTGTGTGTGTGTTCTGTGTGTGTGTTCTGTGTGTGTGTGTGTGTGTGTGTGTGTGTGTGTCTCTGTGTGTGTGTGTGTCTGTGTGTGTGTGTGTTCTGTGTGTGTGTTCTGTGTGTGTGTGTGTGTGTGTGTGTGTGTGTGTGTCTCTGTGTGTGTGTGTTCTGTGTGTGTGTGTGAGTTCTGTGTGTGTGTGTGTGTGTGTGTGTGTGTGTGTGTGTGTGTCTCTGTGTGTGTGTGTGTTCTGTGTGTGTGTGTGTGTGTGTGTGTGTGTGTGTGTGTGTGTGTGTGTGTGTGTGTGTGTGTGTGAGCGTGTCCGAGCTGACCCGTGGGGGGGTTTGAGAAGCGAGGTGATGAAGTGTTGTGTCTTGATGTCGTTATCAGGATCCGATGTTGTCCACGGCTCAACAGATGCTGCAGGATAGCCGCTCCAAGATCGAGCTGATCCGAATGCAGATTATCAAAGTCGCTCAGGCGGGCAGCAGCGGCGGCGGCGGCGGCGGCGGCGACGGGGGAGATGATTGTGGTGGCAACCATGACGGCTCTGCTACACATGGAGGTCAGAGTCCCGGGGTCCTGATCCTGTTAGAGGAGGTCACAGAATGATGTCAGGGTTCTAACGATACCTGTTTTGTAGCCACGGCAACAAAACGAGAAGTCTCAGAGATCTGATATCGGAAAATGTTCTCGCTTTCTGTCATCACAAATTTCTGTCAAACCTGCACAAATACATTTACAACATTTTGTTTGCTTGATATTCTTGATGGATTCATTCCACTCCTTCACACGTGTCCTGTGATATTTGTAGATTTTTGTTTTTTGTAGAAGTTTTCCCCTCAATGAAAAAGGAAACTCATGCATTACCGTCATTAACTGGCCTGAATAATTCATTAGGGACGACGGTGTCAGATCGCCCCGAGGATTCAGGTAAAGAAGTAAAGACTGAAAACTGGGTTATTGAGTCCCCACGCAGCAGAGCAAAAAAAAAAAACATTTCATAAACAGCATCTGCAGGGAGTGATAGATTTAAGAATCAACACCCAACAGGCAAGGCAGGAAACTGCTTGGGGGCCCCAGGCCAGTAGGGGGGGCCCCCGAGGGCTGATAAACTTTAAACCACAGCCATGGCTCAAAATGTGCAAAGTTAACAGTGACAGTCGGAAACCCCCCTGTGATATATCTGACAGCACTCACTCATATGTGACTGAACGATGCCCGTCGAGCCCTGAATATGGAGGAGAGACTTTTTACAACACAACTTTAACTAAAGAAATGTGTTGGTGTCCGATTGTTTCTCACATAACGGGGACGAACGCTGTCTGTGGGGGCCCCCTGTCATTTTTTTGGCCTCGGGCCCCTAACAGACTCCAGAATCGCCCACTGTCAACACCAACGACTCAGGGATTTCTTTTCCATTTGCTGAACTTGTCTCGACTTTATTTCCCCATGTAGTGATAGATTTCAGGTCTCCCTGTTCCCCGGGTAGCGAGACTTTCAACTGTTACAGTTTCTCCTCAGATTTCTGGTGAGATGCGACCGCCTCCTGCTCCACATTTTAAAACCTGACTGTAACAAACAAGGTATAAATAGTGTCACGGTGTGGTGATGATGTTGCTCCTGTAGACTCTGATGACGTGACAGTGGATTTTCTGAGATGATTTTCATGCTCAAAGAAGCTGAGTGGCTGATCATCTAAGTCATATCAAGGTTTAGAAAGTTTGGACGACCTTATAGATATCAAGGCAGCACGCTGATACACACATGCTCAGAATGGGTTCAGAGACCTTCCTTTCATTATTTCAGCCTCTCTGTCTCTCATCATCAGAGTCTCTCTTTCATCAGGAGCAACATCATCAACACACCCTGACTCCACTATTTATAGCTTGTCAGTTTTTTAAAATGTAGAGCAGTAAGCGAGCTCATTTTACCAGAAACACAATAGAAAACAAATATTGCAAATATACAACTATAACCCACGTTAGGCTCACAAAACAGACCTCAAATCTGTCATTAAAGAGTTAAAAATGGACGTTCAAAGTGTGATTAAAGTAAAAACTAAAGGCGTCATCAACTAGTGGAGAAATCGCTGAGTCAGTGGAATTGATTCCTAAATCTATCGCTCCCTGCAGACGCTGTTTTCACGTCCATGTTCTCTGCTGTGTTTCTGGGGATCATAAAGTCCTAAACAGTAGATATCCATGAATTTGTAACTCACACTTTTGCACTCACTAGGCTCCGTCTCTCCTGAATCCTCTGTGTGGTTTGACACCGTCATGCTTTAATGAATTATTCAGGCCAGTAAACGGCAGTAATGCATGACAGAGTTTCTTTTTTACTGGAGGATGGCGTGCTGTTTAAGGCTCAGAAAAGTCCCAAGAGCAATCTAAAAGATGTTTTAAAAGAAGGAGCTGTGAGAAAAGTTTGAAAGATTTTCAGGTTAAAAAAAGGTGAAAATTCAGAGAGTATCAGTCGAAGGTTTCCGCTGGGATGAAAAAGCAGCGCAGGTTAGACAGCATGAACAGAGACAGACGGTGAATGTGATGTTCAGCTGTTTTCTGTTTGGAGAAATAACTCCTGGTTTGGACAGAGAGAGAGAGAGAGAGAGAGAGAGAGAGGCTGTAAAACAAGGGAGTAAACGTGCACCATGAGTCCTCAGATCATGTTTCCTCTCCCTGACCCCTTACCTCCTTCCCCTCTCATTGATTACTTATTAATGTTGAGATCTGACGGGAAGTTAGAGCCTCTTTACAACTGCAGGAAGCTGAATTCACTCAGTGTCGGCTCAACTCGGAAATGTTACCAGAGAGAGAGAGAGAGAGAGAGAGGGAGAGAGCTGGCGGGCAGAAGTCTTTTTGTTCTCTCACAACGCAAGAAACACAGAATTAAAAAAGTGTCAGAGCTCCTCAAAACATGTGTGTGAAGTTTCTTGTTCTAAATCCACTCTGATCCTGTATTTGATCATGTCTATAAACCCCTCTATTTCAGCCCTGCTCAGAACAGGCTGTTTCTGTGTCTGTACCTTTAAATATGTAAATGAGCTGTGTCTGACCACGCCCCCTCTCTGGAAGGGCTTGGGTGTACTCGGTCTTTCTCACTCCATGTCCTATTGTTTACAGTGAGAAGGCAGACTCAGAGGGCAGAACAAACACCTAGCTGTGGGAGTGTCACCCACCTGGGGGAGGGGCTACTGCCCTTTGTGATGTCATCTGAAAATCTCCAAACGGCCTGTTTGAGCACACATTTTCTGAAAAGTGGAGCAGGCAGAAGAGGATGGACTTTTCTCATCATTGGGGGGTTTGTAGACGGACTAGAGACACATGTTAGAGTTAGAGACCTTTAAACTTAAAGATCCAAACGCTGCTACCCGGCTAAACTGTCGTATTAACCGACCAGTGGCTCCATAAACCGGGTTAATGAGGCTCTGCTGCTTGTTCTGCATACGTCGACTCATCCCGACTTCACACAGTTTTGTGCATGTGTTAAAACAGCTTAAAGGAGTTGATTATTTTAGACTGCACAGCCTCACTGTCACCTGCAGCTTTGTGTATCATCATCTTCATGTACAAACAGCAGCAGCTCTCTAATCTGAAGAGTGATTTAATAAACGCTGTGTCAGCCCAATCAGACATTTTATTACCCCATTATAAGCATGAACAGGACTCGATTAAAAATGTTTCGAAACAGGATGCAGAATTATTGCTTATCTCTAAATGTCGTGCATCACACAGAGAGCGTTTATTTATGTTTACAGTAAAGGGGTAAGTGATGCACCTCCTCTCTGTAATCTGTTGCTGCAGGCTGGAAACACAAAGCGGTGTGTTTGAAATAAAACATGAATTCTTTGAGTTAGACAGTTTCCCCTTCCATCTTTCTTTGTGCAGCGCTCGTCTCCTTTTATGAGCTTCTCAACAGGTGAAGGGTTTTTTCTCCCACTCGTCTTTTCAGAGCTCTCACACATTTCAAATAAGTGTCAGCTTAACGCCACAAACGTTCATGAGCTCATGTTAAGACCTCTGCCTGCAGCTCCGAGACATCCTCGGCTCTCTTCAGCTTTATAAATATTGATGACTGGAACTGGAAAGGAGAATCTATGAGGATGCATTAAAATCGTCTGAGGCTAATTCTTTCTCTTCCTCTATTCCTCTCAGGGATCTCTCCGCTCGCCGCCGGCCCCATAGACGCTCGTTTGGCCGAGCTGCAGCACTACATGCAGAGAGAGACGGACGTGTTGCTGCTGGCCAAAGACGTGGTGAAACAACTGGAGGGAATCTCGTCTCTGGACCAGAAAGCACTGGCCGAGGTGGGACTTTACACCGGTTTGATTACAAAGAAGATCAAGTTCAGTTGAGGCTTTAATGTTTACGGTCAGAACAAACAGATAACAGCTGGACACAGTGAAAATATGATTCATTAAAGATACAGGCTGACAGCAGGGGCGGGTCCAGAGGGGGTGGAATGAGCCCTCTTTGAAATCTTATTGGCCACTCCAGGTGCCAACCCCAAATCCTCATCTATGATTGGCTATTTGCCCTGTCAGAGGAGGGACTTATGTTGAAATCTATTCAGGTTTTGTTGCAGCAGGCAGCTCGTAGTTTTCAGTGTGCAGATGTTTGTTAAAATACTTGTGCACACAAACTTCAGGGCCACCCCTGCACAAGTCGGGGCCCCAGCTGGGCCCCCCCTGCACAGATAGTTTGGACACACCCCTGGCTGACAGAAAGGTGAAGATATGATTAATTACAGCAGGTTTCATGCAACTGTACACTTATTTTCTACCACTTAACTTCATCGTGGAATGAATAAAGTTACATTAAAAATGTAAGCAAAGATTGTATTCTAAGTTCAAACTCATTTAAAAAGTGTCCTCCATGATCCAAACAGGTTTCATGAGTCCTCTGATGTGTCCCCGCCCCTCCCTGGTTTCCTGATGTGAGGTCCCTGTGTGAGGGGCTTCACAGTCTGTAATCTGTAATTGTTTTTCTCTCCGTCAGGCTCAGTCCCGGGTGCAGGAGTCGTCCCAGAAGCTGGATCTTCTGCGGCTCTCTCTGGAGAAATGCCTGAAAGAAAAGAGCCAGGAGTCTTTACAGCCGCCTGCAGGGGGCGTCGATCCTTCAAACACTCCTCCGTCGCCCCAGAACTCCAGACCTGTGTGTCCCCTGTCCCCCTCTCCGTCCATCTTCTCCATCAGACCCGCCTCCCTGACAGGTCTGTTCCATTTATGGTTTTCATTTTAGGAGTCTGAACTTTGAAGAGCACAAATTTAAAGGAGCAGTATGTAACTGTGACACCTAGTGTTTAAAATGAGTACTGCAGTCTAAATTCTAAACATCATAGAGAGCTGTCCCCCCCCCCTCTAGAGTGGATGCTCACTCAGGTCACCATGTGGTGGACTCTGAAGCTTCAGTGTTTATCCAGCTCTGCATGGGTCTGTAAACCTTTCTGTGTTCTAACCTCTCTCCATTTTTCAAAAGCATCTCCAATATTGATCCTAGTTTGAGCACGTTTCTGGGGGGGGGGTCCAAACAAATCCAGAGCGTTTAGGACCGGAATCTAAAGTTAGAAGGAGGACATTCTGAGGAAATTGCTCTGCCACAATCCTTGTGTCCACGATCTCATTCTTTCAGTAGCTTCCTAAAGCTCATGACCACAGGTGAGGATTCAAACAAAGATGGACGCAGGCTTTGCCTTCAGGCTCTCCACCATGACGGTCCAGTAAAATGCCCTCATTACTGCTGACACTGCACCAATCCGCCTGTCAATCTCACATAGAAATATGCTCCTCCCACATGCAGTAACGGCAGAGGGAAAGAGTGTCCTTATGAGAAAGTGGGCCACACTAATGCATCAAGCTTTCATGGTTGAATTTGTCCTCATATTCAGCTCGGTTTTGTGGATTCTGCACGATACCACTTGAATACCTCAGACATTAGGTATTAAGGAAACATGCAGCCGTTCTGGGCAGCCTGGTGTGTGCCCAGAGTTTGAACCCAGTTCACAGCACGCCGACCTCTGGCCGTGAATAATCAGAACATGTAATCTGTTGGTTTTGGACGGTTCAGTGGTAAGCCAGTCTCTTTCTGCACGAGGCCAAGAAAAGGCCACATTTAAAAAAAAAAAAAATCCTTCTGATGATGTAACGAGGAGACAAATCCTGGAGTCGCTCTGCTGGCACCGAATAATGAGAGCGAGTCTCCGAGCGCGGGGACACTGGAGGTGATTTTCTGCCCCTCAGCTCTGAGTGCGGCGGCTGTGAAATAAAGACAAAGAGGAAGAGAGAGAGAGCTCGTGAGCCGCTGCAGACGGCTCTGATTAAAGGCTTCTGTCTGAAAGATTTATTATCACTGAAACATGAAAGGTTTTATTTTTAAACGCTGCCCTCATTCTGGTCAACTGTCATCTCTGAGATTCACCACCAGGAATAGAAACACACACTGAAGATTAGAAGTGTTTTGTCAGACCTGAGTATCAGATCCTCATACCAGCTCCCCCAGACACAAATCGTCCTGCAGGAGGTTCTGGACCGCAGGAGCAGAGAAACTGAAACTCCTTTTCCCCGTTTTAAGACAGAAAACAATAATAAGTGTTGGACTTATAAAAACAATTACACATGATGAGGGAAGCAGATTGGATAAAGCTTTTTAAATAAGGTTATGTCAATGATTTTTGTCTTGGCGGAGACAAAGCAGGCCGGCTGACTCGGTTATGTAGAGTACAATGATGAGTCAGGGCGCTGAGATTTGTTATTTATTTCAACGCATCATGATAAACAGTATCCAAATATTTAAGGCACTTAGAAGATGCATGAATATATAAAACATCACCGTGATAAATCAGGGGTGTGCATCAAAGGAAATCCAGACTTATCTCTGAAAAAAACAAAAAAGCTTCTTTAACTTGTTTTTGTTGCTGAGTGCTGCACAAACTGTCTTTGAGTTTGAAAACATCCTGAGTTTACTTTTATCAGGATTCAAAATCAATCTTAACTCCAGAGGAGTGTCCCGTGCAGGATCAGAGTCCTCTCATGAGGAGGTGACAGAGAGCCTGTAGACATGATAAATACTCATATCCTGCTTTATATTTGTGCAGGCGTGATGTTTATTTTTCACAACACAAACCTCGTCAATTAAGAAATGGGAGAACAATGAGACCCCTGTGGATTATTGTGGGCTTAGCACTTTTAGATCACGTCATCGAGTAAGACTCTCTCGTTGCCGTCGCTGTTATGTCACCTGGCTGAGGCGGCGTCTGAAACCGGTGGTAAGGCGTCTACATGCCACAGTATCCCATGTTCTTTCAGAGTTCTCCAGGTAATAAAATCAGGACTCTCAGAAAAAGAAAAAGAAATTACAATATTCACTTCTGTTGTTGTTGTTGTTTTTCTTTAGGTAAACTTGAAGTCCGGCTCATTGGATGTGAGGATTTACTAAAACCTCCGACAGTCTCTGAGAAGGAGAACCACCCGAGTCCAGACGAGGACGTTTCCCCGGCTGCTCAGACGACAGACGCAGAATCAGGTGAGTGGACACGCAGCACTTTTATTTGACTGTTTCCCCGACTGTAAACGACGTCAGGTGGAAATGAAGGCGGTGCTGAAGAGCAAAATCCTGCAGTTGTAGGTTTTTGATAAATTGCACATTGGTATCTATTTTTATTCCTGCACAGGTTATGATAACATGTTTTGATCTCTGTAGGGGGTTCTTTATATCTTCTTCTGGGTTCATATATAAATATGGGAGGGGGGACAGCGGTTGTTGTTTCATGTGAAACTAAAGATTGAGACCATAAACTCATCAGGAAAATGTTTACTGAGGGAATAAATCTGACATCTACTGACAGGAGAGCAGTGTAGTCGCCCCCTGCTGGCCGTTAGAAAGAATGCAGGTTTAAAAAAACATGTCACATCATCTGCCTCACTTTTCAGTCATATTTTAAAACTCAGTGATGTGTCTCCTCCTGACCCTCAGCAGCCGAGATCAGCGCGGTGCTCAGACTCGACACCAGGGTGGTCGGTTGGTCACGCTGGGCTGCCGCCGACAGGCTGAGCTGGGATCAGTGGTTCTGCATCCAGCTGGAGCGGGTGAGTCCAGACACTGAGAATAACTTTTGAATATTGTCCCGCCTTTGACCAGATCGAGCATCAATGAAACACAGAGAAGACACCAGCTTGTTTCCTTATTCGAGCTAACCGTGAGTCGGGGTTTGGATTGAGATCCGGTGATTTGTTCTCTTTAATTAAATTATGAAGAGAATCAAAGTCTGAGAGAACGGATGTCTGCTATGTGACTGACGCCAAGGAGGAAAGGGCGTCTCTTCTCTCCTCTGATTTGTCTCTCCATGCATCTCTGAAGGGAGGGGCTAAGAAGCAAGTGAGGAGATGTACTTACTGTGATGTTGCTGTTGTTGTAGTTCTGTCTGTGACCACCAGGTGTCTCCCTTATACCTGCAAATGATCACATCAGTGGCAGACTTTCATTACTCTGCACAGCACTCTTCACATTCTTTACATCCTCACACCTTATTCCTTTCAGACCATGTGCAGCTCTTTTCCATCATAACTTATTTGTCACTTTCATGTTTTTGTTTTGACATTTGCTGTCCTGTCCTCTTGCTGTGTTTAGTATAAACTCCTTGTCTATAAAAACCTTCAAGGGAAACTTGGTGCTCAGTCTGTTTGCAGCTCAGATATCAGAGAAAGAAATGATAATTATTCTCTCTGCTGACAGTCTCGAGAGCTGGAGGTCGGAGTCTTCTGGGGCGATCGGAGGACGATATGCGGTGTCAAGTTCCTGCGTCTGGAGGAGCTGATGGAGAACCAAAACCTGAACCACAAGTTCAGACTGGAGCCGCAGGGCGTCCTTCATGCTGAGGTACGAACAACGAGCTGCCGGCTTGTCCTTAAAAATATCTGCTGGAGATGATTTCATCTTATTTCTGGGAAGAGGAAGGAAGTCTATCGGCGATGTTCTGTTTCTTTCTGTTTCTATTGGATGAATTTATTGCCAACGTCTTCATTGTTTTGATATTTTTTTAACATGGTTTCCAGTCCTCAGGTGATGGACAACCGTATTTTTTAAAAGTTTAAATCAGCTGTTCTGTAATCTCCAGCTACGATTCATCGACACGGTCGTAGAGCGGCAGCCGAAGCTGAGACGTCAGCGATGCATCTTCACTAAAGAGAGAGGTACGGGCGATCGACGGGGAGAGGTGGTTTGTGTTCATGTTTTCTGTTGTTTCACTCGTCGTCGGTTCGTTTTCCTCTTCAGGGAAAAACTTCCTCAGAGCGGCTCAGATGAACATGAACTTGGCCACGTGGGGTCACCTGATGATGAACATCCTGCCTCGATACAGCTCCTTCACCACGTTCAGCTCGTCTCTCTCTCCGACCCCCGACGCCATGACCAACAACGCCTCACGCCCCCCCGAGAAGGAGCCTCACACCACGACTGCACTGCCAAGGTCAGAGATGATGAAACTTGAAATATGGATATATCTGTTTAGCTTTTTGTTTGACTCTGTGTTTGGACATGTGCAGTGAAGCTCCAGCGATCAGAATCAGCCTCGATGAAGATCAGACGTCTCCCTCCGGCCTCGATCGGAAAGACGATGCCTCCACTATCATCACCACCGCTGAACACAAAACCTCACCTGTGCCTGCCTCACAAGGGAAACAGGTAATCTTTAGTTTCAGTCCTTTAACCAAAAGTGAAGGAGTGAAAGAAAAACAAACGCCTGAGTGATTTGGTTTCCAACGTTATAAACGATTAAACAAGAAGATGAAGAGTCTTATCCACCATGCAGAGCTCTGCTGTGATAACTCATGGTGATCTTTTATATTCCTTCCTTTCTCTGAAGGTCGAGAGAAACAACTAACATGTTGTTGTCTCCTGAAAGGTTTCCAGTTTGTGCAGTTTTTTTTTATTTATAAAGCTCTCACAGAAACATGACCCTCATACCGGACAGAACTCATCCATCTCTCGACTGGACGTTAACACGTTCCTCAAGACGTTTACTGTTCAATGTTCCTTGAGTCAAATTGGAAAATCTGCTTTTTCTTATTCTGCAACGGACTCTTGGAACAATATACAGCATCTTCTTGAGGGAAATGAACTTTTACCTTTTGGGCATTTTAGAAACCTGATTTTAAGCCTCCCAACCTGTTTGTAACTGTTTTACATAAGTGTGTTTATTTATTGCAGTTTTGTACTCGCTTAGTTATCTTAGTACATTTTAGACTTTTGTAGACTGATTTTAGCAGTCTTTTATTTATCTTTCTCTTGTTTTTCTTTTTGATTTACTGTTTTCTAATTATTGAGGGTTTGCCCTCAATGATCTTTAGAGTATAAATAAAGGTTGAATTGAATTAAATCAACATTATTCCTCTTTCGCTGACGTATTTAATCAAATGCAGAGCCCTTCTTCCTCCACCAGAGGGCAGACATGATTCATTATCTGAAAAGATGTCTCTCTCTGTTTGCAGTCGTCCATTAACGGTACAGAAGAAAGTGAGGATCAATCCGTTTCTGCTCTAAAGTAAACATACACTCACTTCTTTTCTTTTAACATTTAAAGACTTAAACCTGGTCGTGATATTTCTACATTTATCTTTTAACATTTAAAGACTTAAACCTGGTCGTGATGTTTCTACATTCATCTTTTAACATTTAAAGACTTAAACCTGGTCGTGATGTTTCTACATTTATCTTTTCTCTAGGATGCAGATGGAAGATTACCGATACATTTCCGTCCTGGGTCGAGGACACTTTGGGAAGGTAACTCTTCAAAAAACGTCTCCATCACACTCGATCAGCTGCGTCGTCGACCTCTCATGTTTTTTCCTCAGCTGGTGTTTTTTTGTGAATCTGTCCGTGTAGGTTCTGCTGGCCGAGTTCAAGAAGACGGGGAAACTGTACGCCATCAAAGCCTTGAAGAAAAAAGACATCGTGACTCGGGATGAAGTGGACAGGTGTGTTTGTCTGAGTGAGCTGCAGCAGAATGACACAGGTGTTCCTTATGAGTTAGAAATCAGGGCTGACCAATCAGGAGCAGGTTGAGATCTTTAAATCATACAGATACTTTTTTTGTAATCGAGGTCTGAAGATGGTGTTTTTGTTTTAATGGGAGTAAAGAGGCCTACCGTGTGTCTCTGCCGGGACCGGGACCTGACCCGGTTGACACCCCTTGTCGGCGGGCGTGTTAGTGATACGTTCAGGGTCATTCTAAGTGTTAACCTGAGGTGTCGTTCTGCAGCCTCATGAGTGAGAAGAGGATTTTTGAGATGATCAACGCGTCCAGACATCCGTTCCTGGTGAACCTTCACGGCTGCTTTCAGACCAGCGACCACGTCTGCTTCGTCATGGAGTACTTACCGGGCGGAGACCTCATGATCCACATCCACAACGACGTCTTCTCCGAGGCCCAGACCAGGTAACACAAGTCCCCCCGATCCTTACAGACTCCTCCCCTCAGATGTTGTCTTCTTCTGTGTTTGTTTTACACTTTCTGTGCATCTCATCCTGGTCTTTATTACTGATCATCGTTTTAATGTTGAATGTTAAAATGAATCCTCTCACGCTGTCGTCATGTGCAGGTTTTATTCAGCGTGTGTCGTTCTTGGTTTGGAGTTCCTGCACCTGAATAAAATCATCTACAGGTGAGTGTTTCTTTCGCTTGCAGTGATGTCACCGCACGGGAGACTCCAGGGAGTAACGACATGGTCTGTGTGTTTGTACGCAGAGATCTGAAGCTTGACAACCTGCTGATGGACGCAGACGGATTCATTAAAATCACCGACTTCGGACTTTGTAAAGAAGGTGAATTTATGTAACACAAAGGTTACGACTTTCCTCTGCTTTCCACCGCACTGATGAAGTCAGGTTTTATTTTCATTTTACAAAAGAGGATTTAAAGGAGCAATGTGTAAGATATGAAGTGACTGATAATAATGATTTGGTCATTAGCCATGATGTCATAACATACACAGGTAGACTGGGGGGGGGGGGGGGGTAGTTCCTCTTCTTGTTCGGTCTGGAAACACCTTTCTGTGATTATAAAATCCGACACACTGAGGCTTTTATTTCTCACATTTTGTATCTTAATTTATTCAGAACTTTTCTTAACTAGATGTCGGCTGATGCTTTTTGTCAGGGATGGGTCACGGGGACCGGACCTCCACCTTCTGTGGGACTCCTGAGTTTTTGGCTCCGGAGGTTCTGACGGACGACAACTACACGCGAGCGGTGGACTGGTGGGGGATGGGCGTCCTCATCTTCGAGATGCTCGTGGGAGAGGTTGCACTTCTAATTCTCTTCTGACTTTCTTTCTGTCTGAAGCTTCTTCATGAAATAATTCATCCTCGTCTCTCTTTGACCTCCTCGTCTCTCTTTGACCTTGTCGTCTCTCTTTGACCTCCTCGTCTCTTTGACCTCCTCGTCTCTCTTTGACCACCTCGTCTCTCTTTGACCACCTCGTCTCTCTTTGACCTCGTCGTCTCTCTTTGACCTCCTCGTCTCTCTTTGACCTCCTCGTCTCTCTTTGACCACCTCGTCTCTCTTTGACCTCCTCGTCTCTCTTTGACCTCCTCGTCTCTCTTTGACCTCCTCGTCTCTCTTTGACCTCCTAGTCTCCGTTCCCGGGCGAGGACGAGGAGGAGGTGTTCGACAGCATCGTTAATGATGACGTACAGTATCCAGCGTCTCTTCCTCCTGATGTCGTCTGCATCGTCCAGAAGGTAAAACCCTCTTCACCTGGTTGCCATTACTGACTCAATGAGTTCACCATATTATTTATAAATGATGTTGTTAATGCTTTCACACTAACACAAAACTCCTGAGAAACTCCTGAAGTGTTCATGGTGAGGTGCATGTGTGAACACAAACAGCTGAGTATTTCACTCAGACTGGGAGGACCCGGGATGTGTTTTACTCAACAATAATAAATGTTTATTGATCGACTGACTGATTGATCGATTGCTACAGCTCCTGAAGAAAAATCCTCTGAAAAGACTCGGAGCTGGAGAGAGGGATGCAAACGAAGTCAAAGGAGACGAATACTTTGAGGTAAAGAGATTTTTTACATTTTGAAAACCATCCAGGACTACTGTTACAGTCTGTTGGAGATATTTCATTGTTAGAATTAGTTTTTGTATTTAGTTTACTAATATTTGGGTGTTGTTGTTTATTTAATTATTCTACACGTTTTCTTTATCTAGAATAGATTTTGGGTAATATTTTCTTTTTTGCTAGTTATTTGTTTAGTACATTTAGTTTTGTATTAATATTTTTTTTGTTAGGTATTTGGGTAACACTGTGGGCACCAGAGGCAGGTAGAGGACCAGCATGCACCTGGGTGGGACTATGAGAGGCAGCAGGAGCCACGATTTTCTTTGTTCTTTTGTTTGCTTTCTTTAAATAAACCACCAATAAACTGCAGATCTCTTGCATGGACATTGGACTTCCTTTGCCTGTGTACATCACATCCCCATGGTGCATCAGTGGTCTCTTGATTATGTTTGATATTAGTTTATTTAGATTTGTTTTTGGACAAATAGCCACTACACAGTCTATGTGTAGAATCAACATATGATTTATGTTGATAAACGGGTTCAGGTCCGACCTGTCGACCCCCCGCCCTCCATGAGTAGCTCCCTGATTTCCAACACTGTCCTCCCTTTCATGATCTCCATTTTTCTCTCTCAGACCATCGACTGGGAAGCTCTCCTGGCCAAGACACTAAAACCTCCGTTCCTGCCGGCGATCAAAGAGTCGATGGACGTCAGTAACTTTGACAGCGACTTCACCCGACTGCAGCCGATCCTGTCGCCGCCGTCCAAACCGTTCATCCTCTCTGCAGAGCAGCAGGAAGCCTTCGCAGACTTCGACTTCTGCGCCCTGCATGGGTGAACGAGGAGCAGGAAAGACCAGGGTGGGAAACAAAACAGGCAAACATACTTTTGTTTTGTATCTGGGACGTTTGACAGCGTCAGAGGTAAACATCCATCATTATTTTGTAATCAACCACCACACACATTCACAGGAGTTTTGATGCTGCAGGAAGAATACAAATTAATTTACAAAAATTAAATTCAAGTTTTCAACCATCCATCCATCATCTGTACCGCTTTATCCTGTTCGGAGTCACCGGGGGGCTGGAGACAATTCCAGCTGTCATTGGGTGAGAGGCGGGGTTACACCGTGGACTGGTGGCCTGTCAATCACAGGGCTGACATATAGAGACAGACAACCAGACACACTCACATTCACAATTTAGTGAGCAGTCAACCTAACGAGCATGTCTTTCGACTGTGGGAGGAAGACGGAGAACCAGGAGAGAACCCACACATGAACGAGGAGAACATGCAGACTCCACACAGAGAGACTCCTGAAGGACGGGGATTCAAACCAGGAACCTCCTCACAGAGAGACTCCTGTCAGACGGGGATTCAAACCAGGAACCTCCTCACAGAGAGACTCCTGAAGGACGGGGATTCAAACCAGGAACCTCCACACAGAGAGACTCCCGTCAGACGGGGATTCAAACCAGGAACCTCCTCACAGAGAGACTCCTGAAGGACGGGGATTCAAACCAGGAACCTCCTCACAGAGAGACTCCCGACAGACGGGGATTCAAACCAGGAACCTCCTCACAGAGAGACTCCTGAAGGACAGGGATTCAAACCAGGAACCTCCTCACAGAGAGACTCCTGAAGGACGGGGATTCAAACCAGGAACCTCCTCACAGAGAGACTCCTGAAGGACGGGGATTCAAACCAGGAACCTCCTCACAGAGAGACTCCCGTCAGATGGGGATTCAAACCAGGAACCTCCTCACAGAGAGACTCCCGTCAGATGGGGATTCAAACCAGGAACCTCCTCATAGAGAGACTCCCGTCAGACGGGGATTCAAACCAGGAACCTCCTCACAGAGACTCCTGAAGGACGGGGATTCAAACCAGGAACCTCCTCACAGAGAGACTCCCGTCAGACGGGGATTCAAACCAGGAACCTCCTCACAGAGAGACTCCTGTCAGACGGGGATTCAAACCAGGAACCTCCTCACTGTGAGGGGACAGCGTTAACCACTGCACCACCGTGCAGCCCAGAGTTTCCCACCATGGTCTTCATAAGTCAGTGATCAATCTGGATAACAGAAGACTTCATCAGATCCCATGGCTGATTTTTGCTGACTGTTTTAACCAATTATCAAATGAGCAATCAATTATTGATCCGATAATACGGCAGCATCTTCTTTTCCTTTTTTAACAAAGCAATGAAAGTGATTGTAGTCCTTTATATACCCTGTGTCTGACCGTCCCAGAAACCAGTCCTGCAGTTCAGAGTTCTATGACAAGCTTTGGTCAAATGAAATATTTATACAGACAAATGTAACTACTGTGAAACGGGATGCTTGAAGAGTTTGTTGCATTATCAGCTCTTCTTACTGTTTTCTTACAACACTCAGATCACCACCATCTTTATCCAAACATTTGGAGCTGATGGGTTTAATTACAGACAAGAAACTGTTGTAAATATAGACCTATTGGTCCCAGCTGTTTACCAAACACATGTTAGAATCATCCAGCATTTATGTCGGCCTAAAAATCCAGGATTCAGTTTAGTTAGCCACCTGTTAGTGCTAGCTAAACCAGCTAGTTAGCCGCCCAGCTGAGCCTATAAACTTCAGATGTCAATATGCTAATGCTAGCTACTAGTTTTCTTAATCACTAACTGAAAGTAAACAAAATTAACTAAATAATTAACAACAGTTTCTGGACTTTAATTTGAACAACTTGAAAACGTATAACAATTAAGCGTAGTTAGCAAACTCATAAGACCTTAACCCCAAATTAGCTTAGTAACAAACTGACCCGCTTAGCTATAACGTTAGCCTATAGGCTAAAATTAACGACTTTTAGTTTCTTTTGGGCTAAATTAATCAGGTCACTGACTTTAGACCAGTTACACAGCTGTAACGTTAGGCTACAGACTGTAGAGATGCTAGAAACTTTCTATTTTACGAACATCGTTAATTATCGCTGTGCTAATTATGTTAGCCGGTTAATGGCAATTACCATTATGTGTTAGCATCAAACTAACACACTATGAAGTACCTGCTCCTTTCTACCTGTGGGACATGATGGAGACTAATGCACCAGCTAACACTGAATATAAAGAAACTTTTATAAAGAGTGCATGTGTGGATAAGGGGAAAGAAACATGGAGGCCAATGAAAACCACATGAAAATACACAACAATAAAATATGATTTAGTAGAATAATAGCCTGCTATTCAAGTTCAAAATTCCAACTTTAAACACCATGTAAAGCACGAAGTAATCATTCTGTTATGAAGCTAATCAGTTTGTCACAATCATTATTTGTCTTACAAATTAACTTTTTACTGGGCAGGTGCCTCTTGTAACCTCTTCAGGCATCCTGTGTGTTGGAGACAGATTCAGCTTGCTTTGTGGCCTTTGCTTATTAATAATAATCTTTCACTATTTATCCCTCTGAGGTTCAGTATGTGCTGCCGTTTCTATGCATCACTGTGACAGACTTCGCTCACTGCCTACACCAAAACAAAAGAATCAAAGCTGACACAGTTTCTGGTTACAAGCCTTTAAAAAACAAGTCCAATCATTCCCTCATCGCTTGAGAAAACACACGTTCACATACCAGCTGTTTTCCGTTACAGAGGTAGTAGTGCATGGCACCGTGGTGAACTTGTGCACTAGATATCCTGTAATAGCTAGCATTATTAAAGAAGCCATAGAGAATCTAATATAGCCATAGTATAGAGGAACATATCTGTATTTTCTATTTAGCAAATCATATTCTGCGATACTGAGCTATTATGATGTCAGTGCAATAAAAGACGAGGAAGAAGAGGAGCGGCAGGGACGAAGCTTTTACTTGATTTTTACTGGTTCAGCCCGTTTCCACCAAGCGGTGCGGTTCAGTTTGGTTCGGTAGGTCACGCATTTATTGGCCTTTCTACTGTCAAAAGTTGAGAATGGTACCAAAGTAAATGTCCAACATTTTTGCTACCCTTCTGTTGGGGTGCCGAGCGTACCGATCAGACCCTAAAGGGCGGAGCTAGACTAGTGTGTTGATTGGTCGATAGAATCTTCACTTCCTGTGCAGCAGTGGTATTAAAAGACAAACACAAAACACGCCATGTTTAAAAATCCCATGGCTCACAAAAGAGTAGTTTAAAGGATGTTTTTGATTTGTGACTGATGTCAGCGTGTAGCTCCGCCCCATGGATGACCTCGGAGGTGCTTACCTCTTCTGGACATCCTCCATTGTTGCCCCTTCTTCTCTGTTTATTATTTTGCCGGGGTTCACTGTGTCGCGCTGCTATGATGTCACGCTATTACGTACCTGACGCGGCTATCGCCATCCACACAATCACCCCGCTTACCAAGTAAGGGTAAGCAGGATCAGGGTTTACCGTACCAAACCGTACTGAACCAGACCGGACCGCTCCGTGGAAACTGAACTAAAAATCCTAATTTACTCACTCAGTTAAAGAACGTTTAAAGAGTAATTTAACACCACTTTCACTTTTAAGAGCGAGTACATTAAATGTTTGTATGGGTTTATGTTCATCAGGCGGTCATCTGCACATCGTCTTCCTCAAGAGATTTAACCAAAATTCTCCACATACTACATCTGCGCCGCAGTCCGTCAGCGCCATGGTGTTCTCTGTCGGAAATTTAGCGCAGCCATGAAAACTACAAGATCAAAATAGAACTGCAAGATCAAAATACAACTACAAGATCACGTGGGAATAAAGACAGTTTTATGTTGAAATTGCTCTGTGCGTTTCCTTGTCTGATTCCTGTACGGGTCGTTCTATTCTGTCCTGCTTGACGCGTGAAAACTCGACTCGCAGCGTATTTGTAACTTAGTGGCGGACCGCGGCGCTCGCTTTGAAAACACAATCCCTGAGAAGAGTTGCAGTGAACGGCGGCGTAGTGAACAGTGGCGTAGTGCTCGGCGCTACCAGAACACTGCGTGCACGGAGTATGTGGAAAACACAACGCAAGAGTTCATTTTCATCGGGGGGGGGGAGGGGAGCAGCAGAGAACCGCTCCCATGATTCTCTGCCGGCCTTGACACCGTCTTTTATTATTGTTTTAATTGAGAGCCCCCTGGTGGTGGTAATTATGTACTGTGTGTTTAAGAGTGTCCTATCATTTGAGACGTGACCACAGTAGCCCCTCCCCCTGCTTTAGGCGCTCCGTATCCCATCAGGTAATTTGGTCACTTATTTACCCCCCGTACGTGGAGAGAATATTTACCTGTTGGAGCTCTGATATGAGATGGTGTTAAGGTGGTGTGTTAAGTTGTTCTTTAAACGAGTCATGAATCCTGAGAGTTCAACACCTCACGTCCTGCTGAAGTATCTCTGAAACGTTTACCGTCAGCAGAGCGGCGTTCGCTACATTAGGAATAAACGTAGGAGGAGGCGTTGATTTAGCGACTGTAGCACTTTAAGTTAATGCTGCTGAATTTAACATGTTATTTATGTGTCAGAACTGTATTTATGTATGTGAAGCATCCTGACTAGGAATGTGTACAGATGTACTCTCTAACAACATGCATATCATCAGTGTTTTAATCTTCTCTTGTTGTCAATAAATACAAACAGTAAAAAAAAAACATTTCCTGGTGTGACGATCATCTCACATTAAATTAAAATCAAACAATTACACACAAACACTCACACTACAGCAAAGGCACGTTCATTAGAAGAGACAGAGAGGCAGTTAGTGTTCACGTTTAGGGTCACCACTTTCACCCGGTAACACGAGAAGAAAGTGAAAAGAGGACGTGGTGACCAGACCTGAGAGAAAAAAACATGGAGGCCTTTACTTTCTTTCTTTTGATAAAAAAACCTGAAAGATAAAGTTGGTTTAAGTTGTGGATATTAGAGATGCAACAATACAGTCAGCCCACAGTTCAATACGTTCAATACGTGGTTTTTAGTTGATTCAGTTCAGATGTTTTTGGTAGACTAGCGTTGATATCTCATTTTGTGTGGTGACTTTGTTTGAAGAGCTGCTTCACTGTTCACTCTCACCCAGTCTGCATGGATCAGCTGATGGCTGCATGACGGCCTGCTAACTTTACAGTTAACGTCACAGCCTGCTAACGTTACAAACCCGTAAACCACACAAGCGCGTATTGAACCGTGGATGCCGTACCGATTTTATATTGAGAATTGTAACATCCCTAGTAGATACCCCAAATATCTATTTAACAGTCGTGTTTCAGTGTTCAGTGATATGCTCGGTGTTTATGGTGCTACAGGTCACTGCTAAGGGAAATAAAAATCATATCCTCGCAGGACGGCAGTGAGGTTTATCACGGATTTTCTTCCCGAGTGTATCGTCTGACTCGAGTCCAGATGTTGAGCTGTGGTCTGTTTGAAGGTCAGACTGTATTCCAGTTGTTTCTTTGGTACATTTTCTCCCACATCACCGTCCTGCAGATGCAGAAGAAATCCCACAGGTTGCAGAAGACTCCTCGGTCGAACGGGTTCTCCTCGTCCCCGCAGTTCTTCAGGTACGAGATCCGGTGTCGAGACATGAACTCCCAGGTGGTGCAGTTGACGGAGACCAGGTAGAGGTGGCAGCCCAGCAGCAGCACGACCACCACGGAGAAAACACCGACCACGCCCAGCGCCGCCAGCAGGAAGCCGTTCACTCTGAACCACAGCTCCCACGACACGCTGGATGAGATCCCAGACCTGAAAGAGACCAAATCAGCGTCACACCTGGCAGAGATTCTTTGATTTTGAGGTTTATTCTCTGCACTGAATTATGCCTGGCAGGCTGAGGGTAAACTTTGCACCGCCCCCTGCAGGTTATAGGTGGTACTGATTAGACCTGTGATGGCTGAGCTGAAATTTGATGCATGGACATTATAATTAAATTTCAGCCAATTTTGTAGAATTTATAAGTTAGAAAGTGGTTTTATTTGTATTTATTCTAATATATTGATTAATAATAAAATCAAGCTTTTTCATTGGTCGAGCTAAACATTAAACAAAAGGTAACTTAAGCCTTGTTTTATGTAAACTCTTATTTTTTTAATAAATTGACTTTAAAAAAAATTGGGGGAAAGTCTGAAATAATCAGATTTTCAGATTTCTTGCAGCAGAGAGTCGTGCAGACTAAGAACCTCTAAATGTCCTCTGTTAATGTTTCTTTTCATGCTGCTTCTGATGTCTTGTGTGAAGGATTTGATGGCTTTCAGTCACGTCCTGGAGGCCTTGAGGTTGTAAACGTCCCCGTGTGAACACAGACCAAACTTGAGGTTTTTATGCAACAATGGAACAACCTGGTCCATGATTCAGACCAGAGCAAACGAGTGACACATGTAGGGCTTTCACACTTAACGGCAGCGTGTGTTTTTTTCTTGTTTTTTAAAACGTCATAGAAATTATCTTTAAAACCTGTCAGCGGTTCAATCGAGTCATTGTGTTTTCTTCTTCGTCTATAATCATAAACAGTGTATTTACTGTTTTATGATGATATGGACCCTCTAAGAGCTGGGGGTGAAAAACCCAACCTATAGTCTACCTGCTTCACATTCATTCAAGGACTTTAACTTAAAGCCCATAGGACTGATCGATGAGAGTCACCTGAACTTTAAAACTCTGAGCAACACTTTAAAGCTTCTGTTTACCAAAAACAAACAAAGATGAGTCCATCTGTTTACTGCTGTCCTCAAAAACCCTCAAGTGTCCTAATTCAGCCCAAAGTTGCAGAGATAACCTGCAGAACAAAGTGCACACTAGTCTGACTGACTCATACTGAGAAAGCTGGAAGTGTTTGAAGGGCGTTTATCATAAAGCGACAGACGGGTGGGGGGGGGGGGGTTGTGGGAGTGGGAGTGGGTGGTGTTATCAGACGTACAGAGCGATGTGAAGAGCCCACAGCAGAGCGAGCAGCTGCACCAGCAGGTAGACGATGAACCAGCGGTGGTTCCTCTCCCCCACGCAGTTCTCGATCCACGGGCAGTGGTGGTCGAAGCGCCGGACGCAGCGTTTACACGTCTGGCAGTGCTTGGCTCTCATTGGCTGCTGCTCGAAAAAGAAAAGGAGAGAAAAGTTTCACCTTTAAACACTTCTTCATCAAACTACAAAAAGCCAAAGTTGTTGAAACCCAAAAGTTGATTAAAGGAACAAAACTTTTAAAATAGCTCTGATACGTTCAGAGTTCACTGCAGAGTGTTCCCAACAATTCAAGTAAAGAAGAGAAGAAGAAAATGTGCACAAACAGATCCCACGTTGAGGATGAGCTTGCAGCTCGCAGCAGCAGGACGTTACCTGCAGCAGACAGTATCCACAGCGCCGCAGCCGAGGGGTCGCAGACTGAGGAATCATCGTCTCCATCTCCTCGTTGGAGCCCTGAACGCCCTGCACAACACACACTGAGGGTCACACTCTTACACACACTCACACACAAACTCCTGACCTACACTGAAGGACAGAGAGGGAAAGAAGATATCTCCGTAATCTTGAGGTTTATTTGCTTAAGATTATTTCCTGTTTGCACCCTTCCTGCTGGGACGAAACAATACCAAAGGTCGTCATCAAGAGTAAAATCAACGTAGAGGTGTGCACATGTGCAACAGTCGTACCAGTGCAAGGAAGGGAACCTCAGAGATACTTTGCATTCAGCATTCAAACTGCGCTTGAGACAAAGGAGACCTCGAGTTGGTCTCACCTTCGCAGCGTCTGTGAGGACAAAGCCAGGGTCCATTAAGGAAACAGCAAAGTATAAAAGCACCGACAGCACGACCACCAGGCAGAACAGAACCGGCAGCAGCAGCTCTCCTCGCTCCTCACACTTCCGCAGATCTGAAAACACACAAAACATCTTTCAGGTTTTGTTTTTTCCAGCAGCCTCCAAATAGACCGGCGGTGTTGTGTCTTGAATCAAAGGTCCAATCAGTGAGCTGTGTAGAGAGTGAGATGATAAAGGTATCTTACTCTCTGATCATTAAGGAAACATGCTATGTTGAAGTGCTGGTTGCTATGGCAACAATGCAGCAGCATCTGGAACGTGGTTAACTCGGGTGTGACGTCATTACCAGCTCAGAAATCTGAAACGCACCGACCGCTCTCTCTCCAATGTTTTGAATTTAGACTGCAGTACCCGTTTGAAACACTGGGTGTCAGAGTTACATACTGCTCCTTTAAACATCGACGATCTCCTGCTGCGGGGAGGTCGACCAATACCTAGGGCCTTAAACTTAGTGACAGTTGGCTGCAGCAGGAGGAAGGTAAACAGTGGAGTATTTCTAAACGGGTTCGTTCTGGACTTCTTGTGTAACTCACGTGTGTAAAGTCCAGAAAGCACTCGTTGACCTCTGTTTGATTTGGCAAGGAAACGTTATTTATACAACCCATTTCAAACACAGAGACCATCCAACATGATTTACATGAAAACTACCCCCCCCCCCCCTCCTCTTTATGATTCTTCTTTCTGATCTGTGTGGGGTGAAATGTCTTTGCACTGATGGTGGAACCTTTGTTTCCACTCTTCAAACATCTGGAAACACAGACACGTGAAATAAACAATCACTTCTATCTGAACCACTTCTCTTGACCGCTTCCATCGCTGCAACACCTGTTGACCTGATAACTGCTCTCATATCTGACAAACCGAGGGGCGTCCAAAACGGCCGTGTGGGGGGGTCTTAAAAGCGCCTACCTTCTCTGGTCCAAACAAATCCAGAGCATTCAGGAGCAGAATCTAAAGTTAGAAGGAGGACATACTGGCTGCTGCATTGTTGTCATAGCAACCAGCACTTCAACATGTTTCCTTAATGATCAGAGAGTAAGATACCTTTATCATCTCACTCTCTACACATCTCACTGATTGGTCCTTTAATGATCAGAGAGTAAGATACCTGTATCAGCTCTCTGATTGGTCCTTTAATGATCAGAGAGTAAGATACCTGTATCAGCTCTCTGATTGGTCCTTTAATGATCAGAGAGTAAGATACCTGTATCAGCTCTCTGATTGGTCCTTTAATGATCAGAGAGTAAGATACCTGTATCAGCTCTCTGATTGGTCCTTTAAGTTTCTGTTATTTCTCGTTTTAACCTCCATCACTCTTCTTAGTTCCTCACCTGTGTTGTGCAGGAACAGTGTGAGTGTTATCACCCAGGTCAGCAGGGTGTGTGTGGCCCGAACCAGGAAGCCGGTCCGGAACATGTTGTGACCCATGCTAACCTGTTAGCCTCGTTAGCTTCCTCTGAACAACATCAATAAACTACGAATATAAAATAAAGATGAACAATAACTACAACGTTTTAAATACACTGAGTGGTTAAATTAAAGTTAATAAATGTATAATGCAGCTAGTTACAGTGACATCTGATCCTTTTATACGTTTTTGTGTCTGGTTGTAGTTTTAGCATTCTGCTGTCTCCGCTTCCGTGTTTTGATACGGAAAGCTGCGCAGGACAAAACACACACGAACGAATCGCGGTGCGGAAAAGTCTTTTGATTATCGTCATTCACATCGCAATAAAAGTTTGACAATGTGAAAAATAATCAATATGAATAATGAAAATGAATAAAAGCGCCATGTTAGTTTTATACTGACTGACATTTTTCATCTTTTCTCTACTCATATTGTGTTTGATGCAGATCTTGTGTAATTTATTTTGTTGTGTTTTTGGGTCACGTGGATTGTGTTTGTTTTTTATTTTTTGATCATACTGTAGAGGCAGCACTGAAGTCCAAGACTCATTTCCCTGAGGGGACAAAACGTATCACTTAGTATCGTTCTATAATATACCGTAGTGTATCGTCGAGTATCATCTGGTATCGTATCGTTCTCATGGCATCGTATCGTTCTCATGGTATCGTATCGTTCTCATGGCATCGTATCGTAAAATATGTGGTGTTGTAGCGTATCGTGCTGTATCACATATCTTAGCGGATTGTAATCTAACATGTATCCCATCATGCCGTATCCTGTCTTCCCGGGTCAGATTGTATCATATCATGGTTTGTCATATCGTAATTGGACGGGCAACGTTTTATTACAAAGGGTTCATCCATTCAGACGTCTGTGAAATGTTTTTCATCTTTCCTTTTGCTGCCTTTTATGCAGATCTTGTGCAATATGTATCATGTTTTTTGGTTGGCACTGCTATTTACATGTTGATTGTGTTTATTTATTTGTAGATTCCACTCTAGAGACATGAACTAATCATGCATCAGCTTCATATTTCAACACCACAGTTTGCCGATTGCCTCTCTCCACTGTCCTGTCTATCAATCTGAAATGTGCTGGATAACATCCCCGAACTACTTCCACATCTTTCTTGGAAATATGCAACGACACATCACGACCGAACAGTGGGGGAAATAACGTAAGGATGAGAAGTCTGAATATTTATTATTAGACTAAAAGATAGCAGCAGATTTCTCGGGGTCTGTTGTCGCTGAATGTGTAATCGGCCGTTGTAGTTCGTGGTCAGTGCTGAGATTAGACACACAAACAGAACATCTCGACTTTACTTTGAGCAGAGGAAGACATGAGACTCAGAAGTACAAGAATTTGCATTTATTTGCATCAAAATGGTCCTTTAAAAAACATCTCTAAAAACTCATTCTTTACAAAAGAATTCAGTCTTAACACCTGGATTGATCCGACATTCCTCCAGAGCCCTTCCAGCATCGATTAAAGTGCAATATGTTGCTCATCTTCTTCTGCCCTTCGTTTTTCGAGGATAAATGTTGTGAATTAAACATGAATCTGCCCTGAAACCTGAGGTGAACATTAATACATTTAACTCTTTAGAACAACAGACATGATCAGTTTGTACCACAACAAAAAGTTATTTTCATGTTTTCTCAAACAGCAGCATGAGCACAAACTCCCAGCGGGCAGCATGTAGTGTGTTTCAACGCCACGTGTTAAGGCTGCTGCCCGGCGCTACACTCTCACCCTGAATACAATCACAGCATTATTTTTAAATCGCACATTTGGCTGTTTAAACTTAACATGCAGCGTTCTGACGCCGCTCTCTTCTCGACAATAAAAAGGATAAATACAGGATGGAAATAAATACTCCTCTAGCATTCATTGATTCAGGACGGGGAGGAGAGATCAAACTCACATGTGCAAAAACCCTCTCTTTAAGGAACACAGACATTCTTCCTGCAGGCCGAACACTTAAAGAATAAAACTTCTTAAAGGGATTATTAATGCTTTTTATCAGAGAAGGATCCTGAACTAGAATGCTTTTTTCCCAGTAGAGCTACGAAACGCTGCATGTTCGACTGGCGGACAGAAAAGAACTCAAACATGAAGAATAACCTCAACATGTTCTCGCTGAGGATCCGGGCAGAAAGGGCAAAAAATAAACATTTGGTCCTTGACTTTCAGTCCCATCCCTCACATCTCTCCTCAAACATAAATAGCAGCAGTTACACTCCTGAGCTCACAGAGTCCATAACCTCCACCTCAGCCTTCCAACGTGACCAGTGTCCCTTCTCGTCTTTCATCAGCTGACATTCACAGAATGAGATCGCTCTACGAACACCCAGCGGGGCCACAGGCTCCCTGGGGTTCCCTCGTGGGGGGGGAGGTCACTTGTCACATTCTTGTTGTCACACAACAAAAGGGGGAGGGTCGGGTTTCAGCGTGATGTCACTCCCAGCTGCGTCTTCAGGTTCTCGTACACGACGTAGCTGATGCTGACGGCGGGGATCACTTTGAGGAAGTTGGGCGCCAAACCTCTGTAGAGACCCGTCGGACCCTCGGTCTGTAGGATCTGCCTGAAGAGACCGGACATGGTCGCATGCGGACTCGTCGAGCCCGTCGCAGCTGCAAAGACAAAAGATAAAAACATTTAGGATATAAATCATTTAGTCTGCTGCCGCCATATTGGAATTTCTAGAACATTTAAATTATCTGCTGATTAGATTCATGAAATATTATTGGATGCAGCTTCAATAAAAAAATACATTTCCACGAGTACTCAACTTTTTAAAAAAAGGTATCAAGTCAACTTTCTAAATCTCTTTTTTCTCAGTGAATGTCAACCATTTTTGTAGTTCTCACCCCCAAGAAGTCCAGAAGAAAAACTACATTTTTTTTGCATTGAGACACAGAACATGTACAATGGCCTCACCTTGTGCTTGCATGCGTGTTCGGACCAGAGCCAGAGGATAACTGGCGAGCTGCCCGCAGGTGCTGGACACGGTGCCGCAGGCGAGCAGGACGAGCACGCCGGGGTCAGAGCTGTTTGTGCCGTACTGCTGCAGGTAGCTGTTCTTCAGAGTCTGGGGGGGGGGGGGGAAACGAGATTAGAGAAATAAAGCCAAATCTTTCAACTCTCTTTGAGCTCGTTTTTTTTAAATCAGTATTATGTTCTTTAGATTCTTTTATGTTCATTAAAGCAGGAAAAACAAAGAAGAGAGGCGGCGTTCGATTACAGTCTGTTACGTAACCAGGTCACCAGCTGACTGGTTGGTTTTGAATTTCTGACATATCTACTGAACAAATGTTCTTTTTTTTTAGACTCAAATCTCGATCAGTGTTTCCTTTCACACTTGTGTTTTTTTTTTAATCAGTGTTTGAGTTAAAGGGGCGACAGAAACTGTGAAGGTGTTAAGAAAGATCAACAGTCCTCCTCTGATTCAAAGTTTCATCATCAGAAAGAACAATGTACGGTATGAAACACGAAGCCTCCCAGGGTAACGTCTCACCTCGTACACGGCCAGGTCGATGCCGGCGTAGGGGATGATGCCGAGCATGTTGGGGACGTAGCCTTTATAAAACGCTCCCAGTCCTTCCCTCCTGAAGATCTGCTTGGCGCAGTCCGAGATCCCCGAGTACTGACCCGTCGTCCTCAGAGCGAGACGAGTTTTCAGCACCTACGGACAAATCAAAGAAATGTCAGCTCTGAAGTCTTTGAACGTCCATCACAGGGCGTCTTAGTGACTCATGTTACAGCAGATCAACGGATTAATCACCTCCATGGGGTAGATGGTGCTCTGGGCCATCACTCCGGCCAGAGATCCAGCAACAAACCTCTCCAGGATGCTCAGAGTCGTCTTCTCGCTGCCGATTAAACGCTTAATCTGCGGAATCCAATTTGAGAAAGAAAGTTAGTGACTGGACATCCGGGGGGGGGGGGGGGGGCGGCGGCACTTAATGAAGACGCACAAACAAACACGGTCAGTCGGGCGTCTTACCTGCTCGTACGCCATGAACTTCAGGGCCGACTCGGGGGCGATTTTGATGATGTTCACTCCGTTTCCTCGCCACAACGACCTCATGCCGCCCTCTTTGATCATCTGCATCATCCCGCTCATGATGCACATGTTGTTTGTTCTGGTTCCATAAACCTGAGAGGGAAGAGGAACACGTTTGAATCATTTCACCAAAAGAACAGTCAGAAACTTTTCTCTTCACTCGCAGGAAACTAAAAATACTTTGAGATTTATTCTGTTTTCTATCTCGGGGATATCTCAGACACTTGGACACGTAGGCCGAGACTTCTTCTGACCCACAAACGATGCCAACTGGGCCGGTTTAATTAACAGTAAAAGCAGAAAAACACAATTTGTTTATCTGCTGATCAATGGGGCTCAAAGTCGACTTTCCACATGCCAGCTGACACAGTCGGACCACTGACACAGATCCTGAATCGGCACAGTTTGAGACCTTTAGCCCCCCCGATATGACGTGGGACGATAACGCAGCCGAGGGTATGACGACTGTAAGTGAGCTGTGATTGGTCGGCTGCGGGGGTCGGCTTTGACACACATCAGGTCCTGGACCCTGGCCTCTCCAGACATTCCTCTAATCTTTAACTTTATGGAGTTTACGTAACTCTGCTCTTGAGCAACTTCTTACAGGTTTGCATCAGATTATTACACACACAGTTATGACATGAGGCTGTCATTACTTCATTCAGAGTTTCATTTCTACAATTAAAAAACTCTTTATTTCTAAGTTATAGGATGTCTGAATGTTAAAGCTGAACACTGAACGCATCACTGATGAGATAACGATGTGATAAGAGTGTCCTTAACTTTCTCCACGTCCCCGAAGTCTCCCACCTTTACCCTGGTTTTCAGATTGATTGATTTATGTAACCTTGCGGTCCTCGTCTCACCTGCATCATGACTTTGAGTCGGTCCAGAGGAGCCGTGAAGGTCCTGGAAACGGCTCCGGCTGCTCCGCCTGCGACCAGATGCCTCCACCACATCCCGGTCATCTTCTCCTCCACCGTGAACTCATCAGGCACCATCAGGTTCTCCCCGACGTCGAATATCTGCCACAGAGAGAGAGAGAGACGGGAACGTTATTACGGGAGTCCGTGTTAACTTCTCAGTCATCCTAATGAAACACTGATGTGAGACTTATTGCATTCTGCATCTCCATCGAAAGAGACGGGGTTTGAATGCATCACTCAGGGGACTCGAGGACGCCATAAACTTCACGATCTCGTAGGAGATGATTCACAAATCAGCTGATTTTCGGAAAAGACTTTGACGATATCAGAACCTTAAACTTCCATATGATGCTTGGAAAGATCAAACCTTATTATCGGATACCATGACAACAAAATAAATTCCCCAGGTTCTCAATATGAGGTCATATATTAAGTTCCCAAAAGACCAAACAGTTACTAAATGCATTTGTACCATTACGACAGTGTCGCCTCTTCTGATGTTGGTAAGAGACAAAAATGTTATTTTTGCATCTTTAAGAGGCGCCAAAACGCTCGACAAGAGAAGGTGTTGTTTTAAAACGTGGTATCAAAAACATGGAAGTATCTGACAATCTTTCTAGCTGCTGGATTTAAAGATCTCACTCTGAACCAGTCAGCTGGTTTAACATTGATGCTGGTGGCAGCTTAACGTGCGTCTCCAAACTGTGACGACCATCGTTTAGCACCTGGTTTGTTTTCAGGGGCGCGTCTTAATCGATGTGAGTGGGTAATCTTTGAAACCCGGCACTCATTGGAAATCGGAGCCACCTTTTCTAATGAGGCACGGCGAGCAAAGGACAAAAGTCCAATGGGGAGGCAGGATTTCAAAACCATCTAGGTCAGGGGCAGAGAGGGGGCACAGGTGAAGAACTGGAGCTTTGGATTGCTGTCACCTGTAACACTGAATGTGTGTGATCACTTAAAAAAACTTCAGAATCAAAATCTTTATTTTGTTTTTGATTCAGGGACTTTCTATAACTTAAGTGAGGCACTAAAAACAGAACCTTTATTGCCCCCGCCTGATTAGACTCTCCTAATCTTAATTTGCTGATACGGAGCTTCAGTGCCACGCTCCCTCCACAGAGCATTAAACCTCAGATTCAGATAACTCTGATGACCCAGCAGCTCGTGTTTCATCAGACATTTGGTCGGTGTTGCGGGGGCCTCCCAGGAGGGGAGCTCTATTCCTGACCCTCGGATACTTTTTCAGTGTAAAGTGAATCCTCTGGACTCGTTAAGATAAGACTGGAAATATTCAATCATTAGGTCAGCCTCCACCTGATCGCTGCTCCCGTTTACATAACAGCGAGACAACTCGACAAATCCTCCCGACGTAATCCTCCCAGAATTGGACCAATTCCGTTCACAGGCTAATAGAGCTTAATGAGTGACGCACGTCTTGTTCTGACGAGGCCTTTCATGGAATTTGGTCCTGGACTGACCCGGTTTCAGAGACAGAAAAAGGCGCCCCAACACCCTCGTATCATTATCGAATGTCCTGATAGTGTTATCGGATCTTAGATGACTTTACGTAACACCCAACTCCTCGTACATGGACTTTTCTAGCTCTAGTGTATTCATTAAGACGGCTCCATTAAAGATTCTGACCCGACTGCTGAACTAACCGTGGAGTGTTTCCAGTAGAGGATGATCTCGGGAATGGTCTCCGTCTTTTCCACCATGGGGAAGTTGCTCCAGTCCTTGCTGCCGATAGTTATCATTCCATTCTTATCCATGCTTTAAGAAAAGAAAAGGCACATTAAGACACTGAGCCCCTTTAATCTAACAAATCCAGCAGATGAAATGGATGAATGAATTTACCTCTTAAGGGCTTTCTCGGCGTGCTGTGGGGAAATATGCACCCCGAGGTCCTGCAGAGACTGAATGAACTCCTTAGGATCAACACGGCCTTAAAAGGAAGCAAAGACAAACTGTGAGAAAATGGTTCCTAAACTTTGGATGAACTTGTGACATAAAAGATGAAACCAAGCCTGAAACTCTTACCTGCATTTTTCCTGTCCAGGCTTTTCACGACCAGCTTCAGGTCTCTCTCGTAATCCTGCAGATAGTGAACGAACTCCTCAAAGTCCAACTGTCCATCCGAGTCACTCTTTTCCTGTTTTAAAGTTTTCTGCAACAACAAAAAAATATATTCAAATAATGTGAGCTCAATTTTAGGACAGCTAAGATGTGAAGTATGAGACATGGGGTTTGTGGTTTGGCTCTTGACAAATGCCATTCTAATGACACAAACTTGGTGCTGCATTGTTTTCACAGCTTGAGAAATGTATGACCTTCTGTATGCATGATTCATCTGTCCTGATACAAAACAATTACAAGTCTTATGAAACACATAAGGAGTACAGCAGGTTCTGTACAGTCCTCTCCCCTAAATGTCAAACATGCAGTCCTGAACAGGACAACATCGTGACCCATTTGCTAATCCGCCGTTGTGAATGTGCCGTCACTTGACATTCTTGAATGGAGCTCGGTTCTCCAGGACAGGGGAGAAGAGGGAATTAGGTAATGACACTCTTTGACCCCGACTGCAGGTCGACCCGCCAACTGCCTTAATCCTGTCCTAGCGCAAACATCCAGAGCTAAAAGGAGACAAGGACACCGGCAGTGTTCCAGCCTGCTGGCCTGCTCTCAGTGCTCTGATACCTGACCCGCTGCCCACAGAGCAGACATACGACCAGCAGACTGTAAATATTATACTCTGCAGGACATTTCTGCTCTCACATTTAACTACCTGCACATCACTTTAACTTGCAGAAAAAGCAGTCATAAAATTGTCACTGAATCTCTGTCTCTACCAGGGAACATGTGCTTGTACTCCTGAGAAACTGGCACACAGTTGCAGCTGCTCTAGCAGCAACAGATGGGACAGCTGACTCTGCTGGAGCCAAAAAAAAACACTAACTAGAGATGTTACAAAATAAATTTATCTGTTTAATGATAATTACTGCAATGCAATCAGCGTTGAACAAGGCAATGTCCAACTGATCTGCAGAAGGACGGTGAGTCATAGTGAAGAGAAGATAAACCTTTCACCATCAAATCAAGTCTCAGATCACCAGTTTTCTAGTTTCAGGAAGTCTAGTGTGCATGTGTTAAGTATGAAAAGGGCGGGCAGGCAGATATTCACAAATAAAAATGTGAATTTTGCTTAGGGTGGTTTAAACTTTGATACTACAGCGACACAAATAGTAGTTTTAAGCATTCATTAGGTAATTTCTTGGGACTTGTAAACCCTTGCAGACTGAAACATTACTAATGTAATTTTGCAATTCAAAAAGTCTGCAGGAGTTTTCCTGCAATTATTGGATGGATTCATTAATGTCTTATGAACACCATCATCAATAAATAACAGATTGTATAAAAAAGTATGTCAACCTTAATGCAGATACAGTGTCTGTGCAAATATTAGAAATTGATGCAGAATTGAACTTCTTTTCCAGTTACCGTAATTCTCCTAATAAAGGTTTGGGCTTGTATTAGAAGTGTTACGGTAACTCAGTTAGCTGACGGCATGTAGGTATTTGATGTAGCACAGCGCGAGTTTCATTCAATTCAGTTTGTTTTCAATTTATGGCTTTTAAAATACACACACAAAAAGAAAATCATTGGTTTTAAATGTTCTACTTACAGTCATAGAAAAAGTTTTACACACTCAAGTTTAGTTCACACGCTACGCGGACTTTTCTAGACACCGGTGTTTCGCCGAATTCGGCTACCCATCGAAATGTGCGACACCGGCAACTTGCGGCCTTGTCGTAAAGGCTTTTTAACCACCGCGCACGCCGGGAAAGATAGGATTTAAACACCGGTAAAAGTAAAGCGATTTTAAAAATCAGGTGCTGAACGGACATTGAAAGACAAACAAAGTTATGTTCGAGTGAAGTGTATTACCTTTCGCCATCTCTGGTAGGTAGAAAACTCCTGAGACGGCAGGAACACGCTCAGTTTGTTGAACAGAGACTTCAGCTCCGACGGGAGGCCGTTAGATTCAAAGTATTCCACTTCGACCGGGTCCGAGTTGGACACGGGGACGTAAAGGCACAGACCGAGCATGTTTACTCAGGACAATTTAAAAAAATGCTACAATAAATAAATAAATAGCACACCGAAACTGGTGTCTCTATCCCACACGGTGCAATGCTGAAATGCCGGTAAGTAAATGCCGGCTGGTTTCTAATGAATGGCAAGAAGCCACGCCCCTTCCAGGAATACATCCACGTCATTGGCTGAACAAGCTGTCTGAACAATGAATCTGATGTAATATTACTACAGGGCAATCGCTGAGGCTTCTCATTGATACGTTCGGTACCACCCTCTTCTAGCGTAAAGAGACAGAAAACTATTGACCAATCCTGACCCTCTTTTCATGCCGCCTATAAAGACTGACCAATCACGTGTTTTGTTTCATTCAAACAGTGAAAAAGGCGGACTCGGGGCTGCTTGGCGGTACACATGCCGGGACCTGGCCAAGGAAATGCAGCACAAAGTTCACATCAATAATAATAAAAAAAACTGAAACAAAGAGACATGAACAGATTACATTAAATATATGTATTGTAATCAGTAAGATAACAAGTCATTCATTTTTTTAAATGTATTTTTAAAATATTAAAAATGTATGTTTAAAGTCCATATATTTTTTATGGACTTTAAACATAATTCTTTTTTACTTTTTATTTTAAAACACATGGTGGCCCAATGAAAAGTAAGAGGTATACCCTCAATACAACCAACACAAAGCACATAGATATAAATATCAAAATTTGATATAAAATGAAGTAACAAAATTAAAGAAAATATGGAGAAAAAAAATCCAGTTATATATATATATATATATATATATATATATATATATATATACATACACACAATAGGCCTACAGAAGCCCTTAGCAGACAAACATCCAAACAACTACATTTGGATTGTTTTCTCGACTTATTTACAACGCTGGTTGTCCCGTGATAACGAGATAAATAAGACGAGATCTCGTAAGGAAAAAGTGATTTTGAGAGAAACACATGATTGATTTTAACACACTTGAAGTCGTCTTTTTCTCAGGTAATATCTCTAGACATGCTTCAGCTTCCACTCAGACTCCGTCTATCACTCTGCTCTTTGGTTCATACCCAGAGATCCTTATAAAACGTGTATTCTGTATAACACAGCTGGTTGTTTTTGGAACACAGAGGTGTGATAATCATCTTTTTATCAATAACATCTCTGGACCGAACCCGCTCTAACGACGTCTGTTGCTGCAGGTTAACCCTGAATTTAGAACATCTAAATTTAGCTTTTATGATCCAAAAATGTGGAATAATTTACAGCCCACTCTCAAGATCAACACTGTTGTTTCTGTTCAATGATGAACTGTTTGATGATGTCAAACCACTTCACTACAGTGTGGGAGTGTTTCTCCTGAGAATCATTGATGTTTTATTTGTGCATGTTTTCTGTTTCTCCACATCTTTGATAATGAGGGAAACCTCAGTGATTTATGAGCCTTGAATAAAGAAATGAAATGTATGACTGCAAAGCTGCTTAATGCGTCCATAAGATAGTAACTCAGACATATTCCTGCATGTTTTAAAAACAAGAAAGCCTAAAAGATGTCATGCACAAGACAAAGAAAGAAATGCATTAAAGAGGGCTTCAAGATAAAGGAGTTGAGTCGACATTGACAAGGACACAGGAGGTGTTCAAGAGAAAGTAAAGAAGATATCCAACAACTGGATTCAAGGAAACTGTAGCAGGTTATACTTGTTGTTGCCAGTCCTGCTTGTTTACATTTTAAAAAATCCTCTTTTCTAAAGCTGTTTTCACACATGCACTCCTGAAAATATCTAGATAATATCTGTCTCTTAGTTTCCTGATCCTATAGGTCAAATGTGAAAGTTTATTCTTCTTGCTTTTACCATGATGTGCATGTTTTGTCTCTGCATGTTATCTAATCGTGCAACACTTTGGCCACCTCTAGTTGTTTTTAAATGTGCTCTATAAATTAAATGGATTTGATTTGATGTAACATCTCCTGCTTGTCTTCCTTTATAAATTCAAAGGAGTTCAGGACGAAGCTAAAAAAAGAACTGTCTGCAGACATTTGCATATTTTCAACCGGGCTCTGAATGTACTGTAGTTTGATCCAAAACAACACAGAGTCAGGCGGCTGGATGGATTCAGGCTGGCACAAGTGACCAGCGCCAAAATCCCAAATAGGGTGCTGAGGGAACACCAAGTGCTGCTGGCCGAACCCCAAGGCCGTCAGCTGATCCGGTGTAGGTTTACACACAACACAAGGACGCACACTCCTCTGCATGTGGCCGAACTATCAGAGCAAAGAGCTACCTTGCACTGTTTCTGTCTTCAAGGAAAGAAACTGAAAATGTATCAGGATTAATTCCACTGTTATTATAGCTGATAAAAGTCTTTGACAGGAAATCAATGATACGAGGTTTAGATAAACCTTCTAAACATTATGATCCTGACTTCAAAGATTCAAACTGTTTGTGGAAATATGTAAAAAGAAAAATACTGAAAAATACTCATGCCAAAGTTTTAAGGAACTATGTGCAGAAAATATAAATGATTTAATTACATAATTAGTATTGCTCATGTATAAATAGATTGTGGTGCAACTATAATGAAATGGACCAACTCTTAGGTGTAAATAACTAAAACAAGTGTTACTGGAAAAGAAACAACATGCACGAGTTTAGTGAACCTCGCTGTCTCCAAATCTCCAAACGGCCTGTTTGAGCACACATTTTCTGAAAAGTGGAGCAGGCAGAAGACGGAGAGGATGGACTTTTCTCATGATTGGGGGATTTGTAGACAGACTAGAGACACATGTTAGAGTTAGAGAAACATGAAGAGGATTTTGAATCATATTTGACCGTTTTCATGATGCAAAGAGAAACGTACGATGTTCAGTATGATAAAGATGAAACCTTCTGGCACCTTCTTCAGATCTAAAAGTTTTAAATAATAAACAGTATTTTCTGAGATGTTTACACTGTTTGAAGCAGCTCATGGAGTCAGAGGTCCTTGAACGCATCACCAGTTAAAGTCCAGCAGAGAGAATAAAAAACAAGTTTGCTGCTGCCGTTGTTGTTGAATCATCTGCGTCACACGGAGGGAGATAATCACTGACCAGTACGACAAACAGGCTTCAGCGGGGTCAGACAAACACTCCATATCTGCAGGAGTGACACAGGTGAAGAGTGTGTGTGTGTGTGTGTGTGTGTGTGTGTGTGGGGGGGAGATCATCAATAAGAGGAGAGGTCTGCCTCTGTGCTCCTCAGGAGGACGTACTGCAGTTTTACAGCTGTGTTATGATGCTTTTATGGTTTCTAACAGCTTGTTGTTAGAACACACAGTTTGTTCATTATCGCCTCTGATTCCTGTTTTTATTTTACAGCCTGAGGTCAAACAAAGACACAAAGACCACTGTAGTCCTGTTTGAATGACGCAGAGCTCTAAACTGGGACAAAGGCTTAATGTAAATATTGATGATGTTACTTTTTTAAATGATAAATCTATTAACTTAGAAATGCTCATCAAAACTGATCAGGACCCAAAGTGATGTTTACAAAGTTTTTATTTTGTCTGACAAACAATAACAAAATAGTTTAAGACCTCCATTCACTTGAACTATACTAGAAAGGATTGGTGTTTGCTCCTGCATTAAAAAAGACAGAAATGATCGATTATATAAATAATTAAAGCAAATACATGTCTTTAAATTTGACTGAGTGTTGGACACACCACCTGATCCACAGGGGCGGTAGAGTCATCTCAACCAGTTCGATCCTCGTGTTGTAACCTCGGTGTAAATGACAAACCCACATTTAAAGTGATTTAAGAGGTCCACGCTGATTGTCCTTCAGGTCTCTGCTGCCCTCTAGTGGCCGAACTTCAACTTCAAACTGAATCATTCCTCAGTGGAGACAAAGACTTCTCCATGCCAGCACATTAAGTATGTCATAAAGTTGGATTGATTTCATAAATAAAATAATCAAACCCCTGGTGTATTTAGTGAATGAAACATCAGTTTGTAGCCGACACGTGGAGCTGATTAGAAACATGCAGAGGCTTTTTAGGTCGGGTACAATCACTTCTATCTGAACCACTTCTCTTGACCGCTGCAACACCTGTTGACCTGATAACTGCTCTCATATCTGACAAACCGAGGGGCGTCCAAAACGGCTGTGTGTGTGTGTGTGTGTGTGTGTGTGTGTGTGTGTGTGTGTGGGGGGGGGGGGGGTGGGGGGGGGGCGTGTCTTAGAAGCGCCTACCTTCTCTGGTCCAAACAAATCCAGAGCATTCAGGAGCAGAATCTAAAGTTAGAAGGAGGACATACTGGCTGCTGAGTGTGTGTGTGTGTGTGTGTGTGTGTGTGTGTGTGTGTGCGCGTGTGCGTGTGGAGTGTGCTACGTTAAATATGTTAACCACCTCCAGGGACACGGGGGTGCCCAGTCTCTGGCACCTTTATTTTGTGGGTAACAAGCTGGAAAATTTGGGAAGCCCTGCTTTGAGGGGGTTAACAACAAATGACGGTTTACAACAGATTAAAGGCTATTTAATTCACAGACATGAATGTTTTATATTCTGTTATTAGTTTGAACAGAAAACAGGCTGAAACTCACGAAACAGTTGAAATACTCATTTATGGTTCTTTGTGTTTAAGTCTGAACATTTGAGAACTCTTTTGTTTTCATCTGTTTCTTAAAGTTTAAGAAGCGTTTTTCGCTCACTTGAACACTTGGACGCGACATGATTTATTTTAGCTGCAGTACACGCTGTCGCCACACAGTGTCGCTGTTTCAACACTCGGGATGTAGTATGACTTGCAGTGAACGAGTGTCTAAGGAGCTGCATCAAGATGACAAGAGTGAATAAGTAAAACACCGGAAGTTAGATGTTAGCATTTCACAACAAGACTCACAAACAAACAAAAAATTATGAAAATGTATTAAAAGTATTAAACTGTAAAATTTTGACCTAAAAAAATAAAAGTACATGTTAAATTATATTTTTTTTAAATTAATATTTCAGTGTCGAAAATAAAGTGGTCACAGTTTTTTATACCGCGTGTTAAAAATGTTACAATCTCTGAAATTCTAATAACCCATTGAAGCGAAGTGCTCACACTTGAAGAGAAACTT